CATTTTTTGGTGTGCCATGAGTCTGTTCCATGGATCACTTGATGATTTTACATCGGCTTCCTAGCCGGAATTATGAGAGTCTCTTCACGGTGGTGCAGATATATTTCTAGCTCGAGTTAGACCATCCTTTAACAGCAGAAATGACAACTGAAAATAAATATTTTAATACCAGCATTCACTGAGCTCTTTTACATTTCTTTATGAGGAGTATAGTAAGTATTGCACCCTCCAAAGGTGGCAGCACTCATCCGCTAGCTGATGACACATTTAAAGCGGGGTAATCCACCCATCTACACTATGTACGGAATGTTTGATTTTAACGTATTTTTTGAGCAGCATGGTTTCATTGGATTTGCTAGTCTAGTTGCTGGTCTGTATTATGCAGTCTCACACGGAGTCAGACACCCGTACCAGTTCGCTAAGTATGATAATCGTAACAACCAAATTTTCCTTAACGCCAAGCATTACAGCTCTTTGTTCTATTGTGGACACAGAAACAGCTTTCACTTACCATTTTTAATTCCTCCCATCTACGCCACACCGTCTAAGACCATTCAATTCTACTATAGTTGGCGTTCGGTTAGACCTCAACACTGCTTGCATTCTAGAAAGAGTCTATGACACATACCTAAGCCACATTGCCAGCATCTGCTCAGTCTTTATGAGTCTGACCATCTCCGCTTCCCATCCACAAACTATAATAAAACTTATCGTCATTCAAACGAGTAAATCAAATTCCATCGACGACACAACCCGTGAACGTGTAATTTGCTCTCGGTGTGTAGGCCCTCCCACACCTCACCACTTAACATATCAAAGAACTTCTTCTTTTTCTCCTCCATCTTCCAACGACCACGCTACCTGGCTGCCCTCATTCTCTTTGCGCAGCAATCCTCAGAAATCAGTCAACAAATACAAAACGCTAATCTTACTCATAATCAGCCAAGGCTATAATGGACAAATATATGTTGACAGGAATTTAAAGGCTAGTGTGGTAAACATTTGCACTAGAATTCGGTGTAACGGTAATTTTGCATTAATCCTTTGAGTTGATGTGTGTAAGGCCGTGGTTCTTCTTAAAGTGCTCCAGTAATAAGGATATAGATAGCTATGCAAGACCAACCGTTTATGAACGGTAAGCCGACGGCGTGGGTATTTTCATGTTTGGTGGACTGCAGTGCCTAACATGGGTAACTTCATTTTCAATTTCTATCAGCTCAACGTTTTAATGATTAGATTGTTTCGCCC